ATGATTTTCCTCTGTAACTGTATTCCTTTTGGATGATATTTAATTTCTATAAATCTGTCAAACATCCAGTTCTGAGATAACACATCACATATGTTTGGGGGAAGAGGCTGTCTGGGAGGGGGATTCATGAGTCTAGGAATTCTAATTTGGTGACAGACAGCCCTCCTTCCTCAAAGAAGGGCACTCATGAATTGCTTATCATTTATAGATTCTACTCAATAAAAATAAATCTAATCTAGATGTGCTTTAAGCAAGTTGATGCATCTTTATTTAAAATAATGGCTAATTAAGTGAAAGCCAAAATCTGTTGTTATTTCAGACTATTTCCTTCCCCTCCTTCAACAAGACACAACAGTAATAAATGTAGCTAAATTAAAATGACAAGTTACATTCTCTTTGTCAGAGCTGTTTTTATCCCTGGGTTGAATTGAAGATTTATCTCAACTTTGTCCTTTAACATTTTTCAAATATTGCATTGTGCTGTTTTTTATACTGGAAAAAATGAACATGATTGTTGTGGGTTGTTGTTTGTTTGTTTTTTAAGTCTCCATGCATGGTATCTCTTAACTAGAAGGAATCTGAATTGGTTAAATGTCCAAATACTAATATAGAACCAAATAAAGGAAGACCCATTCACTTGAAGCTAGGGGTAAGACTTGAGAGTATATGTTTTCTGATTTCAGTTTCCTGATTTAGATATTGTGCTCTAGTTATGTAAGATGTTCATATTGGGGAGGTTGCGTGAAGGATGCCTAGGATTTCTATACATTTCTTTTCAAATTCTTGTAAATTTACAATTATTTCAAATAATATTTTAACAATATATATTTTTTATTGATTTCAGAGAGGAAGGGAGAGGGAAAAAAGGATAGAAACAACACTGATGAGAGAGAATCATTGATTGACTGCCTCCTGCACCCTCACTGAGGATCAAGCCTGTAATATGAACAGTGTGCCCTGCCTGGGAATCAGACCACAACCTCCTGGTTCATAGGTAGATGCTCAACCACTGAACCATGCCAACTGAGCTAAAATAATTTTTAAAAAGTAAAGCATCCCCTCCCCTCTAATACCTTGACCACACAGAACCCTTAGACTGTCCTACTAAGTGTTCTGGTGTATTCCACATGAACCTCTAGGATCAGGGCGATCACCCCCTAGAGATTGTGGTTCAGAGGGAGTGAGGTGGGGCACAGGCATTGACTGATACCTTGGGAAACTGCTCAACCATTGAATCTGAGGAAGTGCCCAGGTGAAGGACCAGGCCCTAGAAGAAAGCCACGAGGCCTTCCAGAACCATCAACTGGAAGCTAACACTTTTCTGCTCTGAGGTCTCACTAAAGCTGGGACTGAACCATTTTTGAGTTGTGAATAGGCCATAAAATGAAAATGATGTTGCTTGGGTTCATGGAATGGACTTAATTATCAGTCTTCTAGAACCAGTTCTGTCCATGGGACTTCGATTTCCCAAAGAAAGGCTCCATACTCACCCAAGGTTACTTAAGGATAATGTCAATCTGCTAACAAAGCACTAAAAGACTCAGCGCCTTACAAATGTATTATCTGTAAGAGGAAGAAAAAGAGACAGTTAAAAATCTTGACATGTAATCCATTCTTTTAGGTTTTAACAGTTTTCAGTCAGGAACTTTAATTAGACTTATAACAAGTTACCACTTGTAAGGAATTTTGTACTTGTTAATAATGAGGTACAGAGGAATAGGATTTGTTATTCTTGCTTTAGTGGCTAGTAGTTTTTATTTTTTAAAATAATTCACATTTTTGTTACTCTATTTGAGAGCTTATGTTTTAAAATTCTTGCTTTGTTCTCTTATTTAAATCTTTAAGGGAGAAAAGATAAAAATTAAAATGTCTGGGAAGTTCTGGTATGTTTAACTTTTTAAAATTGTGGTCCTTTTAGATTACTTCAGTAGAGCCAAGTAATTTATAAACAACTTAGTTTTTAAAGAAAAATACAATGTGAACACTAACAAGTAATGCTTTTTAAAAATATATTGTTTTTGTATTTGTAAGTTAATTTATTTGGGTGGTTAGAATGTTGGTTTAAGCTCTTGGACTTTTCCACCAGAAGCTCCACTTCAATATTAGATGTGTTGCTATATATTTCATGACAAGAAATACATGGAATTTTCCTGAAATATTTGAAGTCTAAGTCTGACTCTTAGCATCAGAATTGGCATAGGAGCTGTTTCCATCATAGACTTCTCATAGTCACGTTTCAGGGATAAAGAATGCCAGTTCCTTGACTCATCCTATATATCTGGACGTCACCCAGAACGGGAAGTGTCATTCTAGAACAATTTCATGAGAAAAGCTACCTGATATGTTGCTAACATGAGGACATTGTAGCATTCTCATATTAATGACAGTTTTTAAAATATCACTTTTATTCAGAGTTCTCTTAAGTCAAACATATTAAAGAAAATATGGAGATGATTTTTGTTTGGGATATAGCCTTTATCTTCTGATAGTAACGGTCTGGTAAACTTATATTACACTTACCAGTGATTTTGATGTAATATAAAAAAGCATATTTGAAGAAAAAGGGAGTTGCTTTATTATTAATGATTGAGAAATAGTAATTTACATTGAAAATGCTGCTGGTTAAATGCTCAAATTTACATTGAAAATGCTTCTGACAAGTAAAAGGTATTGCATTAATACACATGATGATTTTTCTGGAGAGAAAGCTTTATCTTACCTTTCAGTTAGCAATTTTATTCTTTGTTTTTAAAAGGCCAATTTATTCACTTGAGCTTTATGGGAAAGATGCAAATAACTAAAACCAACCAAACAAACAAAACTAACAAAGCCATGTTGAGATCAGGAACTTATTTCATATCCTAGGTTTTCTTCTGAAGCAAGTGACAGTACAGCCTTATGTCTCAAACCATCTGTCATCCACAGTATGTCAACAACATTGCAATATTAAGTATTTACCTGTGCCATGTCCTGACCAGTGTAGTATCTGGCGCTCAGATGTCACAAAGAGAATACTTAGATACGTTCTGTAGATTCTGTTTTTGGATAAAGAAGTTCACTATACATATTAGTGCTCTTTTCACCAAAAGTCCCATTATCTTGTTTTTCCCAGTGGTACTGAATAATTAAGTATTGCTATGGATGCAATGTTAAGGTAATGCCTTGAAGAATTGCTTAGCTATATCAGCACCATTACTAATGTGTTTTCGACATGCTATCTATCACACAATACTCAGCACTTAGGCCTAGCACTGCCTGAGTTAAGACCTGCTGAGGATGCCATGTGCTTTGGAAATTTCAAGAAGACAGTCTGGAGAGCATGTTCTTGACTAGTTTTCATTTCAAACCTTTTGCCACTTAAATACCGTAAACTGTTACTGCTAAATGATGTTTTCCCAGAAATTCTCTGTAATGCATGGGAGGGATTTCTTGCATTCAAAGTTGTAGACTATAACAGAAAACAGGTGGGAAGGAAGATACATGGAGGAAAAGTGCCCAGACTTGGTTCCCTTAGAGAACGTAGTTGTTCAGGGTCTGTATAAGGCTTCACATTTTCATTCGGTCAATAAATATGTACTAGTGTCTTGCCTACAATGGGCCAGACACTGTTCCAATTACTTGGGATACAGGATGTGAACACAAGTGTCTACCTTCATGGAACCCATGTTTTAGGGGAGGGAACTATAGAGGTCCAAAAGTAAAGAAATAAGTAAATATATTATAATATATCAAATGGTCATAAAGTGTAGGGGGAAATAACAGGGGTGCAGTTGTAGAGGTAGCATATTTATTTTCTACAGGGTGTCAGAGAGTCTCATTGATTAAGGTTACATTTGAACAGTGATGTGAAAAAAGTAACAGGGGGGAACCCATGAAGATAAAGGATTTCAAAGGCAGCTGGAACAGCAGGCACAAAAGCCCAGAGGTTGGTAAGAGCCTGATGCTTTACAGGGGCATCTCTGGAAGCCAGTGTGGCTAGAGAAGGGGGAGCATAAAAACGTGTCAGGGGATGTGGTCAGGTGGTGGACAACCATATAAACCATTGAAAGGACTTATACTTTAACTCCAAGCAAGATAGAAAGCCAACTCTTACTCTGACTTTAGAAGTAAAGATTAAAGCAAGGGATCAGTTAGGAGGTTATTACAGTGATCCATGTGGACAATGGTGGAGGTTGAAACCAGGGTGGTTAACAAGGAGTTGATGAGGCTAATAAGGTTTTTGGCTCAATCAACTAGAAGGATGGGGCTGTCATCTGCTGAAATGAGGAGGTTGTGGGAGGAGCAGGATTACATGTGTTAACCCAAAGTCTTCCAGATGCCTTTTAGGCAGTCTGGAGTTGTGGAGCGGGAACCTGGATAGCTAAGTCTGGGAATCAGAGTAGTGGCTGGAGAGTGATAGATATTTAGGAATTGCTTAGGGTATGGATAATATTAGAAGCCATGAAACTCATCAATATGGACTCCTCAAGAGAGAGCCTAAGTAGAAAAGAGATGAGCGATCTGAATCCTGGTATTTCATAGACATCAGGGCTTTGATTAAGAATTCACAGAGAACATTTAATCAAGAATTTCCCTAATGTCCTGTCTTTTAAAAAATAATAAACATGTCATTGTTCCCTTTTGAGCTGGTTGCACTTTTTAATAATCATTCTTAAATTTCATTTCACATTTTTAGTGACTTATCTGATTGATGTCTAATACTATTTAAAATTAGTAGGCATTGTCTTGGTCTGAAAAATCTGGTTTTTGTGGAACATCATTTAAAAATAATAATTAAGAGAGATGTCCATGGCCATAAAAATTAAGGTCTCAAAAGTAATTACTGAAGACAAAATGTAGTATAATTTGAGTATGATTTTTTCACTATTATTTATTTATTGGAAGTTTCAGGTTTGGCTGTGATTTTATAGTAGGCAAATCTGGTGAAAAAGGATGTAGTATTAATAGATAATTTGTTTCTTCACACTGAACTTTAAATTCTTTTTGTTTGCCTTTTCTAGCCAATATTTGCATTTTTAAATGAAGAAAAGTTTAATGTGGATGGATGGATGGTTTATAATCCAGTTGAAGAATACAGAAGGCAGGTAAGCTAATAGGTACTGTGGCATGTAGTGAATCTTAGTCATGCATGGTGACAATGTCACCAGGCTTGCTATTTGAGGATCAATAACATCCTTGCCAAAGATGTTTTTAATGTCAGTGGTATAATATAGCTTATTCTGTCTATTTATCCCATTGCCATATTCAAGTTGCATTGAAGGCTGGCTGGCTAAGTTCTGTTTCTTTCCCTTACATGAAGAATATCAGTTATATGTTGGTCATGAAATAAAGCAAATACTTGTAGTCTAAAATAGTCAAACCTCTAATATAATAGCTTCCTATTCAGGAGTTGATGTCGCTATATATTTGTATATTTGGGAGCCTAACTATTAATGACAGGTTCCAATTATATACATTCTGGTTTGTAGATTCAAATTAATTAGAACTATTTTCCTATAATAACATCTTTTCCCAGAAAGCTTTGATGAATATATGTTAGAATTTCCCTTTAATGCTTTCTTATGTAAATATCACCTACATGCATATTTATTTGCTGTAGTAAAGGCAAGAGGCTTGGAATAATGTTGGATGTTCAGGAACAAAGGTCTCTTGTGGCATGTTTGTGAAGAAGATCCTGTGCATGTTATATAACAAGAGCCAAAATAGACCTCTAGTATAACCAAATCTATAGCACAGTTAGGAATTTTGTGATGGAAGTTTTCATAATTATCATTCTAAAAGTTCTTAAAATAATTGGAAAATTTTGTTGAATGACCTTTGAGAATCAATTCAAGCCAGTTGTGTTACATGTAGAGGCAGTGAAGGTAAAGTAAAATGCAGAACCCTAGACTTGAGACAAAAACATCTAGCCACCACCTCTACTAAGGACCTCATTTGATTTTCATTTAGTCTTGATCAGTGGTGTGTGTATTCATAAGCAGATCCAATGCTCAAAAATGGTGGTATGGGAGTTTATCTCTAGAACACACATATGAGGAAGTATGTGCTATTGCTTCTAGAAATCAGCTTTAGACTATTCTTTTCAAAGTCTGTATATACCTCTCATTTTAGTAACCTTTGTTCTGGATCGGTTATTGAGGCAGAAGAAGAACTATTCAAACATTTTGCATGGTTTGGAGATCTCTGTAGTATTAAGTATAAAACATTTGTGCCTTATTTTAAGAGTGTTATTGACAATATTAAGACATTTTAAGATCAAAGCTTCTAGATTGAAACAAAACAGTTCCTGTTTTTAAGATTGCATGCATATATGAACTGTTGAAGGTATTTTGTTCCAGACTGCCATTTCATTCCATCTTTTTTTCTTATAACTTTCTGATGGGACTTGTAACTTTCTAATTGGATTCAGCATCAGACTCACCTGTTTGGTCCGTGGTCTATAGGACCAGACCTAAAGAAAAGGTACAATGTCTGTCCCCAAACCAAGCACCCACATAGCTTACTTTTGTGTCTGTATTTGTGTATTCGTGAGTATGGGGAGAGAATATTCCACCACCTCTGGCTCTTGTTCACAATAGATAAAATTTGATGGGTAGATGATAGGGTGGGAAGTATCTTCCATAGCTCCCTGTGCAGTCTGTGTAGACTGCAAATTACTCTGTTTCTCACACAACCTATATGCCAATCACCAATCCAAAACAACCTGATTGAAAAAACTCTTAGGAGGTGGCGAAATGAGCCTCCCCAAGAGGGGTTTTCATTTACTTCCCCTCTGCGACTTTCTTCATATACTTAGCCTCTTTCTACTTTGGAGCAGACTGAAACATTTACTATGTTTTGAGTAGGGAAAGGGACTTGCCTGATCTCTTTTCTATCCTCAATCAGACACAGAGTACAGGATATACTTTTTCTAGGTTGGGGGGATACATGGGTAGAGAATGAACTTGCATTTATCTTTATTTTACTAGTAGTAAAGAATAGTTTGACATAAAATAAAGGAAGAGCTCAAATTCAAGAGAATCTTTATTTACCAATGACAGTTTAGAACTATGGAAACCACCAGTGTTTGTCTTGTGTTCTTATGTTGTCTGGATTATTGATTTGGCTCCCTTATTATAAATCAGTAGACTGTCACTACACTGTGGTCAAAGATGCATTTGCAAATTCTGAATGAAGAAAGGAGATTCAAGGCTAATGCAGAGATGAAGTCATGCAGTACTTACTTGGACTTCCTTTTTTCCTGCAGGGCTTGCCCAATCACCACTGGAGAATAACTTTTATTAATAAGTGCTATGAACTGTGTGACACTTACCCTCCTCTCTTGGTGGTTCCATTTCGTGCCACAGATGAAGATCTAAAGAGAGTTGCAACTTTCAGATCCCGAAATCGAATTCCAGTGAGTATGCAATTAATGTTGTTTTTTCAGAGTGCCTTTTATTCCACAAGAACAATAGTGAAGTAATTCAGAGAAACACTCTAGGATTTCAATCCAACAAGTAATTGTCAAGTGCCTTTTGAGTGCATAACACCAGACTAATGGGGAAAATAAGAAAGACAACACCTGCCTTCCAAGAGCTCACAATAAATAATGGGGAATAAACACAAGTAATTCTTATTCAAGGGAGGGTACAAATACTACTATCATATGTAAACCAAGTGCTAGATGGATGGAAAGACAGGGTCTTTGTGGTTTTCATCTTTGTAGCACAATACCTGATATATGATAGGCTCTTGAGAAATGTCAGCTGGGCCATGCTGGAAACAAGGTACTATCTTATGTTATAGAGCATTTAAGTATAGGTTTTTATGTATACTCACCTTTATTGGGATGTGCTTATCCTCAATATATTTGCAAGTTGCCCTAATATCATTTGCAAACTGGATCCAAGTACAGATTACTTCAAACTGTATACTTATAGTATCATGGGACCTAGTTCCCAAAGTTTCCTTTGCTTCTTAAATATATTTTTAACTCTTTATTGTTTAAAGTATTACGTATAGCATTCCATGTGTCTCCTTTTTTCCTCATTTGCCACTCCTAACCGCCAGAACATGCCCTCACCCCTGCTTCTTAAATATGTATGTACAAGTCGCACTGTCTTCTGTGTACATAAATTTTATTGACTAAAATTTTAGAAAATGTTTTCCCTTCTGTTAATTTTCAGGGCATGTCATAATAGTAAGTACATTGTTTTGTTTTGGTTTAAAAACAAGGTTGAAGAAATTAAGGTTTAATGCCAAGTCTAGATAATTTTATCCTTAAAAGGACATTTGTGTGAAATGTTTGTATACTGTCAAAAAATAATTGCAACTTTTAAAATTCACTTGGTTCTCTAGTTATGAGTGTCTGTTCATATCTTCATTATATATATTGTACCTGAAAGTATGTTTTTAGCTCATTTTGTTAGAGCACGGTGCTAAGGAAGCTAGTTATAAGTTCACTACTCTTGTTCTCTATTTGGACATATTTTTCTGTGCCATAGCCACAAACTCCATATTTACCCTGGTGTTCTGTCTTGCTAATGTATGCCTTGTCCACAGGAGAACTGGATTAGGGTAGCGTGAATTGTTTTTATTCACTCCTTTATTCAGTTAATGTTTATTGAGCATCTACTGTAACAAACGTGTATATAAATGTTTCATGGGATTTGGAGCAGGAGAGGAAATAAACCAATTGTGCCCAGTTCCTTATGCTCAGGCTACCATCTTAATCCAATAGTTTCCACTATTCTGTATGAATGAGAACCCACTTTAGAGCAAATAGAATGCTTAACTTTTTGTTGAACCATTTTATGGATACTTCTTACTTTGTGATGGCCACCAATTGGCATTTATTTTTCCTAACAAAAACTGAGGCTAATCTGTCTATTATTCCTATATCTTTATAGATTACTAGGCTTAATAATATTTAATAGTACATAATATACTCTTTCTGGTGTACTTTCTGACCCCTGACTCTTGAGTAACCCAGGAAACATACTTGCTTTCAATGATAAATCATTAATACTTGATATTTAGTTTTTAAGCCCATATAAAAATAAAAAATAAAATAGATGGGAAAGCAGTCTTGAAATTAGAAAAAAAAAACTTATAAAATATCACTGATTAATAAAATAACCCACATGTGTTAATGTTCCCATTAATGGATACATACTCCTTTATCCTCAAACATGTTTATTTTATTGTTATGAAAGTCTTTAACATAAGTAAAACATATTTTATTTTATTTTTTTATTTTTTTAAATATGTTTTATTAATTTTGTACAGAGAGGAAGGGAGAGAGATAGAGATATTTTATTTTAGATATTTTAGAAAATACTGATGAGCAAAAAAGAGTCTGATGTCTTATAAAAATCAGAGTTAACATTGTGGTATATGTCCTTCCAGCCATCTTTCTATGTATGCATATTTTTATTAGAAACAAATAAAATAATTCTGTAATCTGTCTGAATCTTTTTTCTACAAAGCATTATCCTGTAAATAAGTTTCCACACTGATAAATATTTACTGATAGCTAGTATATAGATTCTAGAGGCCCGGTGCATGAAATTTGTGCACGGGGGTGGGGTGTCCCTCAGCCCAGCCTGCATCCTCTGTAATCTGGGACCCCTCGAGGGATTGGGTCTAAATGGGCAGTCATATATACCTCACCCAATCCAGGACTGCTGGCTCCCAACGGCTTGCCTGCCTGCCTGATTGCCCCTAATTGCTTCTGCCTAACAGTCTGATCACCCCCTAAGAACTCCCCTGCCAGCCTGATCGATGCCTAAATGCTCCTCTGCTGGCCCGATTTCATCTAACTGCCCTCCCCTACTGGCCTTGTCATCCCTAACTGCCCTCCCCTGCCGGCCTGGTCACCCCTAACTGTCCTTCCCTGTAGGCCTGGTCACTCCAACTGCCCTCCCCTGCTGACCTAGTCTCCCCCAACTGTGCTTCCCTGCAGGCCTGGTCCCTCCCAACTACTCTCACCTGCTGGCCTGATCGCCCACAACTGCCCACTCCTGCTGGCCATCTTGTGGCAGCCATCTTTTGTCCACATGGGGGCGGCCATCTTGTGTGTTGGCATGATGGTCAATTTGCATATTTCCTCTTTATTAAATAGAATACCACAATGCATTTAATAAGTTTTCTATTATGAGTCATCAAGGTTCTTAATTATTAATATTTTGCTATTATAAACAGTACCATGATAAACATCTTTTGGTGGCCAACTCTTTGAGTGTATCCTTAATTATTATATTTATGTCTATTAGATACTTTAAGAAGAATAACCCATTATGGTACCATATACTTTAAAAATACTCATAGTAGTTGATATTGTGAAATTAGCATTATTTGTACCAGGATTATACAGCAAGCAGCCTTTTTAAAGTTGAGATACCAAAAGAAAACGAAAGTAAGAGGTGAAACAATTCATAAGAGTAGCATTTCTTAATATATCATGGTGATTCTAGTCTTAATTCTCCTAAGCAGAGAGAATAAGGGTGAAAGAGAGGAGGGCATTGGTGGTACAGAACAGTTTCTTGCATTTTACCTCATTTAAATTTAAAACTTGATGAGAGTCATTTTCAAACAATAAATCTCTTGTATCTGTAGTGATTTGCTATTTAAAACTGATCTCATATCAAATCAACACTTTACACAATATTGTATGTCAATTGTATTTCTATTAACCTGAAAATTCAATTCAGTTATAAATAAACTAGAGGCCCAGTGCACAAAATTCTTGTGTGGGGGAGTGTCCCTCAGCCCAGCCTGCACCCTCTTCAATCTGGGACCCCACAAGGGATGTCTGACTGCCCGTTTAGATTGGACCTAAACAGACAGTCGGACATCCCTCTCACAATCCAGGACTGCTGGCTCCCAACTGCTCACCTATCTCCCTTCTGATTGCCCTTTAACTGATTTTGCCTGCCAGCCTGATCACCCCCTAATCACTCCCCTGCCAGCCTGATCGATGCCTAAATGTTCCCCTGCCAGCCTGATTGCCCCTAACTGCCCTCCCCTGCAGGCCTGGTCACCCCTAACAGCCCTCCCCTGCAGGCTTGATCTCCTGCAACTGCCCTCCCTTGAAGACCTCGTCCCTCCCAACTGTCCTCCCATGCTGGCCATCTTGTGGGGGCCATCTTGTATCCTCATGAGGGCAGCCATCTTGTGTGTTGGAGTGATGGTCAATTTGCATATTACTCTTTTATTAGATAGGATACATAAAAGTGATCTCATGTCTTTTATCTCTCTTTCAGAAAAGGCTATAGGAAGTAGGTGGGGTAGGTCGCCTCTCCACACTGTAGATTACAAAATGGAGGTTGAGTAAGGGCCAGTGCTTTTTCCCAGGGCTACACAATTCTGACTCTTAGGTGCCACAGTGATGTTTTTTACTGGTCTCTGGCATGGCACAAAAATTCAATGAATGAGTATTCATGTTATCATATAATCATTCTCACCAGCCCATTGTCATTATTTTGCACATCAGTTTTATGAATATCAATGCTTGTCATTTGCTTTCCTGGAGTGGGTGACTTCAAAAGACAAGAGTATTTGGCCTTGTATTAAGTGAGCTCAAGTTGTTGTTTCTTTAGCTCTTGTGTCTGTTTTTTATAGTTTTCCATATCTGACTTTACTGGCTGCTGGCCTGCCTCTAGATGCTTACTCAAGCTAGCCAACCCCCTGCACTGCACTGAGTACTTTACCTGCAGTCATTCTTCCTTCATCCTCACAGCAGAAAAATGGGATAAGATTACTCCCCATTTGATGAAAGAGGAAAGAGAAGCAACAGAGGCTATGAGCTCAGTATGCAGGTTAGAGCCACCCTCAGTGCCCATGCTGTTACCCAACACTCTCACCTCCTGGCTCCCTTTGTGTGCTTTTTTTATATATAGCTTTTTTGAGGTGTACACCAAACAATTCACCCATTTAAAGTGGACAGTTTTATAGCTTTTGGTGTATTACATTATTAGCTACCTTTTATAGTTACTTTTGGTTCTGTGCTATGACCTGGGAAACCAAGCATCAAATGTGCTAGGTGTATGCATAAAATTAGAGAAGACTGAGTGTGAGTGAAGGCTGGAAAAGCTCTCCTAAGAGCTGGGTATCCATTCTTCATTGCAGAGACTCTGGCAGCTCTTTTGGCTGTTCTGGCATCTTTTTTTGCTTCCCTTGGGTTATATCCGCCCCTCATATTATTCTAGAATTGAGACTGTTGGGAAAATGGCCTGCAGATGTGATTTGTTATTATAGAAACATGGTATATCAGAGGTGATTTCCTTTACCTCTCACTTTTTGCTAAAGTTGTTTCTTTGTGATTAAATCCAGTGCAAGCTACAGAACTGAAATAATATCAGAAGCTTTCTACTTCCTTTAAGTGGTTTAACATTTTTTTAGTCAAGCATGCAACTTCTATTAGCTGTGGTGCTAATTAAAAAGGACTAGTAAGGCAATTTGATTATTCTAATTGTCTCTTAATAGAGACATTGCTAAATGTGTTTTTCTGGGCACACACAGTGAAATCATAGGTGAATAAATATTCCATTTCAGCAAAAGCAAATTCACTTTATCATGATTGTTAGTAGTTTATTTTTATAGTTTTATTTGTTTTGAGATTTGTTTTAATAGCTCAAAATTTCTGTACTAATTATAGGTGCTGTCATGGATTCATCCAGAAAACAAGACAGTCATTGTGCGTTGTAGTCAGCCTCTCGTCGGTATGAGTGGTAAACGAAATAAAGATGATGAAAAATATCTTGACGTCATCAGGGAGACGAACAGACAAATTTCTAAACTCACAATTTATGATGCAAGACCCAGTGTCAACGCAGTGGCCAACAAGGTGAGTATATTTAATGACATGTAGAAACATCTTATATACAGTATATAATGTTTCACATGAATGCTTTGCCATATCATGACAACATGTGGGATTAAATTAATAGTTAACCTTAATTTAAATAAGAAAACCAGATCACTGAGTTAGAGAGTTTTAATCACAAAATATATCTTAAAAGTTGAATATATTACAATCAAATGAAAACATTCTCTAGGTAAATTAAGCAAACCTGGAACTGTAATGAACTTAGGTTTTTATCAGAATCTTAGGCAAAAGTTACAATCTCTTTGGAGCTGTTAGGCTGTTAATGGTTATTCCCAATGTCTATGCTGCTGAGGCATCTGCGAGGAGTTGTGGGAAGCTGTAATTGTAAAATCCTAAATGCGTTGCTTTATCAAAACAGTCTCTTCATTATATTCATCAGTGTATATTCTCATTTATGTAAAATAATTCAAGAAATGAATAGATATATGTATGTGAAGTTTATAATCTCACACACACAATGTTATTATCAAAGAAATCCGTTTTAATTGTCTTCATAGCATTCTTAAGCAGAAAATTCCGGGTGCCCCTGAAGTTGACTGGGATTGTCACTGTGAACATCAGTGACTACATAGCATTGCCTTCCGGACATCTCGGGAGGCTGCTGCAAGGTGTAAGGCTGTTTGCCCAACACTAGACGGCCCCAAATTATGCTATGCTTTTATGTTTGATTTTTTCCTTTCTGTTTTGTTGTTCTCCCATTACTGCCAGCCATCACAAGTGCTCACAGTGGGCTGCGCCTGCATTGCTAATCCCCATTCCACCTTTGAGATTTCCTGCTTCTCATCAGCTGTAGGCTTCAATTTCATCCATCATCTTGAATACTTTGCTTATCATAAGGTCATCTATCTGACATTTTCAATTATTCAGAGCGCACACACACACACACACACACACACACACACACACACACACACAAAAGAACCTGAAAGCAAAACAAGTCCCTGAGCAGCTCAGACAGTTGCAGCAGTTTCCTTAGTGGGCCTATGGCATCTGTCGGCACATGCATCTGTGAAAAGGCATGTGTGTGGGGCTCACTTACATGGTTGTGCATCTTACACACTGACTCCTGGAGGGGGGGCCTCTCTGCCCCTTGCATGCTCTTGGACCAGCTGTTTGTTACTACAGGTGGTATTTGTTTGGAGAATTAATATGATAATGAAATTATATGTACACTAATCAGGAGTATAATCATTAAGTAAATTAGGAATTATAAAAGTAAAATATTTTGGAAATAAAGTCTAAATACAAATGTTTTCTTGTATTATCCTTAACTTTATATATTGATTTTCCTGGAATTCAGACTTGAATACATGTAGAAAATACAATATTTTCATGTATACATTTAGCCTAAAACAGATATAGCATTAAAATGAGGTATTTAGAAAGAATATTTTAAAATATTAAAATGCATACATTAGCCGAAACCGGTTTGGCTCAGTGGTAGAGCGTCGGTCTGCAGACTGAAAGGTCCCAGGTTCAATTCCGGTCAAGAGCATGTACCTTGGTTGAGGGCACATCCCCAGTAGGGGGTGTGCAAGAGGCAGCTGGTCGATGTTTCTCTCTCATCGATGTTTCTAGCTCTCTATCTCTCTCCCTTCCCCTCTGTAAAAAATCAATAAAATATATTATAAAAAAAAATAAAATAAAATGCATACATTATATAAAGTCTATTGTTATAGCAGTGGAATTATTGAATGCCTTTTTAACACTCGGGAGATATGCCTGTGTTTCTAGTCCCCTTAGGAATGAAGGGAAGGAAAAATACCTAGGCTTTAAAGATCTCTGCATCATTCTTTAAAAAAAAAAAAAAACACAAAAAAAAAACAAACACACACACACACACTCAGGTCCCCCTCCTCTCTTCGCTGTGTCTCTCGCCTAGTCATCTATATCCATAGCAACAGGCCCTTGGACCTGTGTGTCAGCATACTAGGCAGTCTGGGTTGTTGCTTTTTTGCATTGAAAAAAAAAAGAACACTGAAAAAAATATTTCAGAACTGACCAGAGATGGAGAATTTGCACTTTTAAGAACTTAGTCTGTGCCTGACTAATTGATTTTACCCTTCTGATTTCTATTCTATTTGGACCTAATCATTCCTCTCTTGTGGATATTTAGATATTCACAACCCCAGATGTAACAAGCAACATCACACCATTTTAAATTAAACAAGCAAACAAACAAAACCCAGGGGTGGATAAGATCAAGCATCAAGCTGCTTTAATTTTTCAGCAGCACACTGTGATGAATTATAGTGGAACTGTATTAATGTCTGTTTTTGCCAGAAAATTTGGCAATGAGTATTAAGTATATACATTATATATTTATGTGTGGGGGGGCTCGGCAAAAAACAAACATTAATGTCAAAGTAAAATATACTTTCTTATTTAGTCTGTGGAGACTGAGGCATCTAGTTTATACATAGGTCCCCAGGTTTGAAGTTCAAATGGTAGCCTTATTTATATTGCAAGAGAACTTCTCTGTAACTAATCCTAGAAAAAATCCAGGATGTGTTGGCTCTTCTATCCGAGCTACAAGTTTATATTCCTTCTATTGTTATAAATAAAAAGGAAAGGGTGCCAAAACCGGTTTGGCTCAGTGGATAGAGCGTTATTCTGCAGACTGAAGGATCCCAGGTTCGATTCTGGTCAAGAGCATATACCTTGGTTGCAGGCACATCCCCAGGAGGGGGTGTGCAAGAGGCAGCTGATCGATGTTTCTCTCTCATCAATGTTTCTAACTCTCTATCCCTCTCCCTTACTCTCTGTAAAAATCAATAATATATATAAAATAAAAGGAAAGAGACATAAAGTAGCGATGGCACATTTTTCTGGTGCCTTCATTTTTGCTCTTCATTTCCAAGCATGCTTCCCAGTCCTCTTCCTACAGGCGCTATGAAGTTAGTATAATGTTGCTTTGATGATATTTTTTTTTCTGGTGAGTTCACACATTCAGATGTTTTTATAGTGTTAATTAGCATCCTTTCATTTCAGTTATAGAATGTTGTTTTCTTAACAAGTCTCTGAATTATTTAACTTTTTCTTAAAGAGCCAGAGGCCACGTGTTCCATGGCATTTAAAAACATTAAGGAGAATGCAGCCAGATCTCTAAACAGAATTATAGCATTTCTTCTCGTCCATGTGGAAAATGGGCATCTTCACCATGCTGTGAAGGTGAACCAGTGACTGCCCTAGCAGTTTATACTTGTAGGTGCTGCAGTAGGTAGTAGCACTCCTCTTGACACCGTTTGTGCTTTGAGGGCCCACTATGTGCAGTGCTCTGTTCTTGGTGTTTGCATAGCAGACAGTCGCGGTGCCCTAGAAAGGGTTCAGGTATTGAAGTCAGACGACTTAAATTGTGATTACCTGTGTGACTTTGGGAATAAATAGCATTTCTTCTGATTTGCAAAATAGGAATGGTAATAACTATATTGTAGCATTGCTATAAGAGTTAAATAAAATCATGCAAAGCAAGAATCACAGTATCTGGGACATCATATAGGCTCATTAAACACTGGCTGGTGTTAGCTTTTCCTGAGTATGGCTTCTTTTAATCCTGTGAGACATAGGTAATATTATCCTGTATTCTACAGGAGAGGACATTGAGGCTCAGAGAGGTTAAGGCCTTTCCCTAGATCACACAGCAAGGAAGGGCTGAAGCTGAGCTATCAATCTAGTTTTGTCTGACTCAAAAGCCTGTTGTTTTCCTCTGGCCCGTGTGTCTCATGTGAGTGGTACTACAAAGTCAGTGCCTTACCCTGAAAAGTACTTTTATAAAACTGATGGAGAACAAGGTCTATTTAGAACCTGTTCTTGCCTTTCCAATTCTGGAAGAAGAGCTAGTAATTCTAGAACATTTGGAAAGTGATTTTTTTTTCCTCACAAATATACGTCTTCCCAAAATTGCCAGCCTGCCATCCCTTTTCTAGCTCAAAGTGTGACTAATGTTATTGGAGCTCAGTGTTGGATAGGAAGGCGAGTCCCGTCAGTCATTTATGTAACTTGCAAGATTTGAGGTTGAGATTTGGAGGCTCAGTAACTTTTCAAATATTTGTGTGAGTTACTAATGAAATAGAAAACACAAAATCGCTGACATTTCTTGTAGCAATATTTTTTCTGATATATCTCCTTGGGAAAGGGAAACAATAGAAAAAAATAAACAAATGAGACTACATGAAATTAAAAAGGTTTGCACAGCAAATGAAACCATCAACAAAACAAAAAGACAACTCATTAAATGGGAGAAGATATTTGCTAAAGATATACTCTGATAAGGAATTAATATCCAAAATTTATTTCTTTTAAAAAAACTCATACAATTCAACACCAAAAAAAACAAACATTTCTATTTAAAAACTAGAGGCCTGGTGCATGAAATTCGTGCATGGGGGATGTCCTTCAGCCCATCCTGCACCCTCTCCAATCTGGAACCTCTCAAGGGATGTCCGACTGCCTATTTAGGCCTGACAGGCAGTCAGACATCCCTCTCACAATCCAGGACTGCTGGCTCCCAACTGCTCACCTGCCTGCCTTCCTGATTGCCCTTAACTGCTTCTGCCTGCCAACCTAATCACCCCTAACCACTCCCATGCCTGCCTGATTGATGCCTAACTGCTTCCCTGCCAGTCTGGTCACCCCTAACTGCCTTCCCCTGCAGGCTTGATCACCCCTAACTATCCTTTCCTGCAAGCCCAGTTGCTCCCAACTTCCCTCCTCTGCTGGTCTGGTCACTCCTAACTGCCCTCCCCTGAAGACCTGGTCCCCCCCAACTGTTCTCCCCTCCTGGCCTGATTGCCCACAACTGTCCCCCCTTACAGGCCTGGTGCCTCCCAACTGCCCTCACCTGTTGGCCTGATCACCCACAACCGCCCTCCATTGCAGGCCTGGTCCCTCCCAATTGCCCTTCCCTGCTGACCATTTTATGGTGGCCATCTTGTGTCCATGTAGCTGGAGACAGTGGGATGCTTGGGGGCAGCCATCTTGCATGTTGGAGTGACGGTCAATTTGCATATTACTCTTATTAGATAGGATAGAGGCCTGGTGCACAGATGGGAGTTGGCTGGTTTGCCCTGAAGGTTGTCCTGATAAGGGTGGGGGTTCCCTTGAAGCATGCGGTGGCCTAGGCGAGGGGCCTGTGGTGGTTTTAAGGCCAGCTATGCCCTCCTCCCCCAGCAATCCAAGTGGAGGCCTTGGTATCTGGGATTTATTTATCTTTTATAATTGGAACTTTGTAGACTTGAGTACAGGCCAGAGCAGGCCAGGGCAGGTGGAAAGCTTGGCTTCCTCCATTACCAGGGGCTACCTCTATTACCAAGCCTCCTGCTCTCTCCAGTTCTGTGGCTGCCGTCATATTTGTTGGGTTGATTTGCATACTCACTTCTGATTGGCTAGTGGGCGTGGCTTCTGGGCATAGCAGAGGTATGGTCAATTTGTATGTTTCTCTTTTATTAGATAGGATGGGCAGAGGATCTAAATAGACTCTTCTCCAAAGAGGCCAATAGACATGAAAAAATGTTCAACATCACTAATCATCAGAGAAATGCAAATTAGAATAACAATGGGATGTCACCTCACACGTGTCAAAATGGTTATCATCAATAAATCAGCAAACAAGTGTTGGCAAGGATGTGGAGAAAAGAGAACCCTCATGCACTTTTAGTGAGAGTGCAGACTGGTGCACCCACTGTGTAAAGCAGTATGGAGGGTCTCCAAAAAATTAAAAATGGAACTGCCTCATGACCCAGTTTTATACTTCTGGATATATATCTGAAGAAACCCAAAACATTAATTTGAAAGAATATGTGCATCCCAGTGTTCACTGACCATTGTTTACAATCGCCAAGATATGGAAATAACCCAGCTGGCCATCAATAGATGAATGGATAAAAAATATTGTGGTACATATATACAGTGGAATATTACTCGGACATAAAATAGAATGAAATTTTACCATCGGCAACAGCATGGATGGGCATAGAGAGAATATTATGCTAACAGATGTAAGTCTATCAGAGAAAGACAGATACAATATGATTTTACTTATATGTGGAATCTAAAGAACAAAATAAACAAAATTGAAACAGATTAATAGACACAGAGAACAAACTGATGGTTGCCAGAGGGAAGGGAGGATGTAGGGATTGTGTGAAAAAGGAGAAGAGATTAAGAAGCACAAATTGGTAATTACAAAATAGTCACAGGGATGTAAAGTACAATGTAGGCAATATAGTCAATAATCCTATCTAATAAAGAGGGAATATGCTAATTGACCATCAAGCCATCACAGAGTTGGTGGTGCCCACAGCCACTAAGGAGAGAATATGCTAAATGACTGCCACACCCTCAAAGATAGTAGCACCCACAGCCACAAAATTGCGGTGCCCAGTCCCCTCAGGCCCACCAGGTGCGCCACACAGCCAGGCCTGCCTCCAGGTAGGTCCGGCTGCTCTGCATGCCTGCCTCTGGAGTTTCCCAGTCCTCTCAGCCCCCCAGCCACATAGAGATGGCCCAAGGTGTAAGCAAGCCTCAGATGGTGGCTGCCCAGCTGACTAGGGCTGCCTGAGATTCAGGTAACCAGGGCCTGCCGAGGCTTGTGTTGCCAGCAGTGGCAGCAGTAGAAGTGTGATGGGAGCGTTGCCTTCCCCTGATTGCTGAGTCACCTCTTGCCCTTGAGGGCTCCTGGACTGTGAGGGGGGCAGGCCAGGCTGAGGGACACCCCCCACTCCAGTGCATGAATTTTCATGCACCGGGCCTCTAGTATTGTAATAACTATGTATGGTGCCAGGTGAATACTAGAAATATTGAGGGGAACACTTTGTAAAGTATATGATTATCCATTATGCTGTTTACTTGAAAAAAACTAATAAAAATATTATTGAATATAAACTATAATTAAAAATAAATTAGAAAAAGAGAAATAGAAAACACAACTGACTGACTATGTGTATATCTTGTTTCTTAGGCAACAGGAGGAGGATATGAAAGTGATGATGCATATCATAACACTGAGCTTTTCTTCTTGGACATTCATAACATTCATGTTATGCGGGAATCTTTAAAAAAAGTCAAAGACATTGTTTATCCTAATGTGGAAGAATCTCACTGGTTGTCCAGTTTGGAGTCGACTCATTGGTTAGAACATATCAAGGCAAGTATATTTGTAAAAAATACGTGATTGGTTAGTGAAACAAGAATTTTTAATCCTTAAATTTTAAAATATTAAACAGTGAAAGAAGAAATATTTGTAATATAGGGTTCTGCATTTGACAGTATTGTATGGTATTTCCTTATCATTTGCTTACCTAAATTAAAGATTTGACAACATCACCTCCACAATATTTTTAGCGTTTTTAGAGATGTCATTTTTCATCTCATTAATAATAAGTAGTTGAGTCTTTCACTCAGGTTTATTTAGAAATAGCCAGTGTAACCACTACTTGGTATGACCCTCAAGGGCCTACAGAGAGATTGTTTGTATTGAAACCAATATCAGATTGACTAATTTTAAATAATAAATTTTGTGGTTTATTATATTCAATCTTTTCTCTGCATAAAGACTTCAGAAACCTTCAGTCTTTTAAAAGTAAAAGTACTTGAAGCTATCTAAGGGAGCTAACACTTTTAGAAGCTGCCGTTTAGTTCTAGAAACAAGCAAAAAGCCTACTTTATTTTTTCCATGGAAAGAGTATATTTTAATTGTTTTTGTTCATACATGTTGTTTCAACTTTCAATAATAAAATTCAATCAATTAGATTCCTTGATCATAAAAACTTGCTTCACACATTTTTATGTCACCAAAGTCCACAGGCATACAAAACATCACAGAGATTTGACTCTGCATGCCTACTTTAAATATGTGAATTATTAAAATAGTTTTCTAGTGAAATTTTATTTTCCAACTCAATAAGAATTGTGTTTTTATCTCACCTGTCATTCATTATTTTCTTAATTTATCATCCTTAAAAATAAATTACAAAAATATTACTTGTGACAGCTAAATGCAATGTGGCATCCTGGATTATAAAAATGACATTAGGTAAAAAATAAGAAAATCTGAATAAAATATGGACTTTATTTGAAAAATAAGTTAAGTTTATTAACATGTTACAGTATCAACATTGATTTATTATTTGTGACAAAAAGACCACACTATTATATTATGTCAATATTAGGAAATTGGGTCAAGTATATGCTAAAAGGTGATTCTCATTGCATCAGGCCTTTAAAGTCTAGACTGGACCTATTGGACCACTGATTTTTCTAATATGATCACTGTTATCAGTTTAATTGTGTTTTTCCCAAAATTCATATGTTGGAAGTCCTGACCTCTAATACTTTAGAGTGTGACCTTATTTGGAATTCCGGTCATTACAGATATGATTAGATAAGATGCAGTTATAATTGAGTAGCATGGCCCCTGAATCCAGTAAGACCAAAGTCCTGTGAAAAGCAGAAATTTGGACAGAGACACATGCACAGGGAGAATACCATCTGAAGATTGGAATTAAACTACCACACGCCAAGGAGCTAATAGAAGCTAGGAACTGCCCTGGAACAGGTTATCCCCTGAAACCTTCAGAGGGACCATGGCCCTGCCAAGAGCTTGATCTTAGGTTCCACTGGGAGATAATAATGTCTGTTTTTAAAGCCCCGGTCTGTGGTACTTTGTTATGACAGCCCCAGCCAACTAATACAGTTGCATATATGATAGGAATTTGAAATGCAGTTTGACTATTTGTGTTAGTTTGTTTTAATTCCAAGTTGCATTTGAATGCAGTTTCTGTAGAAGAAGAACACAGATCTCACAGGTCCTCATTTTCCATTTTTCAGGACTCTTTCTGTTCTAGACATTAATAATATTTTAAAATAGGACTCTTTCTAGGGTTAAAAACTCTCATTTCAAATTGAAGCCATACTTTGCAGCTACCTACTGACTTGCATATGTTTCTTTGCCAGCTTATTTTGACAGGAGCCATTCAAGTAGCAGACAAAGTTTCTTCAGGGAGGAGCTCTGTGCTCGTGCACTGCAGTGATGGATGGGACAGGACTGCCCAGCTGACGTCCTTGGCCATGCTGATGTTGGACAGCTTCTATCGGAGCATCGAAGGGTTTGAGATATTAGTACAAAAAGAATGGATAAGTTTTGGACATAAATTTGCATCTGTAAGTAAACAGTAAAGCTGTTTTTTAAATGTCAGGTCACTGCCATTTGGCATTTAAAAACTAGTTGTTAAAATCATATTTTCATTCTTAAAAAGAAAATCTGAGGAGTGTCATAAACAACATTTACAGGTTTGAAAATGGGTGATGCCTTAGGCTAGAAAGTCTCTTCAGGAGACATGTTTATCCATTTGCACCATTAAGTTTCAATTGAAAGTAATACGAAGAGTCTGCATGGAAATGTTTAAATTAAAATACCAGAAAAGAAAGAAAATAGAATGACAATTCTTTTTCAACTAATATTATAGCTATTAGAGTCAAGTATATTTTATAGAAATACTAGACTTTCAGCCTTAACCAGTTTTGCTCAGTGGATAGAGCATCGGCCTGTGGACTCAAGGGTCCCAGGTTCGATTTCGGTAAAGGGCATGTACCTTGGTTGCAGCTGATGGATGTTTCTCTCTCATTAATGTTTCTAACTCTCTCTCCCTCTCCCTCCTCTCTGTAAAAAAATCAATAAAAATATATTTTTAAAAAAATACTAGACTTCCAGTTAAGGCTTTTTGTTATTATTTTTCTCTGATGCACATTTTTTAAATCAAGAGGAGTTATTAAAATTGCTATTACCAGGTCTTGTTTCTAGACACCCTTTGAATAAGGATTTTTCACAAGCTCCCCAAGTGATACTCAGAAACACTGCTATGTAACCTTTTATCCTTAACCCAAATTTCATAAGTAGTGTGAATAACATTTTTAAGTAAAAAGAATCATTGTTTAGAAGATGAGTAAATGGTTAGGTTTTTGTCTTGTTTTTAAGAGAGAAAAAAACTTACTTTTAATTATTATAATCACACCCTTTTCTGTATGGTTTTTAAGTCCTGAAATTTTAGGACTGGTCCCTTAGCAACAGGTAACATATTCTGCAGGATAATTCAATCCAGTCTACCTGCAGCTGCCCAGGACTTGGACAAAATTCTAATCGGATGACAGAGTTCTAAACCTCACATATGATGATACTTTGCCAATTTGTATTGCTATTTTATGAAAGTTTGTATACTTAATTTTCATTATCTCAAAATCTTATACTATTTTCAATATTCCCAAGGAAAATATACTATTAACTCTCTGAGAGACTTGGAATTTGGAAAGGAGATAGCTGAGTTGTATTATCACATTTTGTAAGTTATGTGCTTCCTTGGTTTTGTACCTATAAATTAATCTTCATCAAATCATCTCCATCAATTTATTTCAGAGAATAGGTCATGGTGATAAAAATCATGCAGATGCTGACCGATCTCCTATTTTTCTCCAGTTTATTGATTGTGTATGGCAAATGTCAAAACAGGTAAGGGATATATAAGATAAAAATACATTCAATTTAATGTTTAAATATTTTGATATATGGAATTTGCATCCAAATAAAACAGAGCAGGAAAAAAAAAAGCTGCAACCAGTTTGGCTATGTGCGAATAATTGTTAAAGCCGGGTAATGGACATATGAATTTCCCTTTTTTATTCTCACTACTATTTATATATCTGGGATTTTCCATAATAAAGTTTAAAATTCAATTTACTAATGAAGGAACAGTGGAATTGACAATACCAATTTATCTTTTCCGTTCATGTCCATGTATACTGGCATCTGATAACTTATAATACCTTAAATAATTAAACATCTGATATATTCTATACACTCAGGAGAACCCAGAAAATCAGCTTGTTTTCCTTTTTATTCCTTTACTTGACCCTTATTTAAACTCTTCAGTCCTCTGCAAATCACCAATAAATGAGAATGGGCATATGCAGATTGCAGCCTCTGAGGTCCTTCCTGGAAGGCAAAGTGTAGTAAAGTTTATGAATCTCTTTTCAGTTTTATAAATGGTCAGTCTGAGTTTTCAGGCTCTGTTTGATTGCTTGTTTTTGTCTAGTTCCCTACAGCTTTTGAATTCAATGAACGATTTTTGATGACAATTTTGGATCATCTGTATAGTTGCCGGTTTGGTACTTTCTTATACAACTGTGAATCCGCTAGAGAAAGACAGGTGAGTGAAAAATGGTAATCTTTTTAGTTACATGTGTCTAGTGAGCCATGAAATACAAAGAATTTGGTAACTTGGTTTATGGTAAGTGCAAAGTTTCTCATTTTTTTACCTCAAGCGTGGGTGTTTTCAGTTCAACCAGGGTTTGTTGAGTATCTGGTATTTAATGTATGGGGTAAGACATTGACTTTGCCTTCAGGAAATGGAATAACTTTATAGATATGCAAGATATTCTTCCCAAAAAGCCATGAAAATATCAATTAAAGGGAATTTTTTAAAAGTCATAAACCCACAAGAGCAGGAAAGATGAGAAAGGATACATAATAGCAAACTTTTGGAAGCTGGAAAGCTATTAGTTAAGTGGTAAATAACTTAGTTTGAAAATACCGTATCTCAAACCAGCATCAGGGAAGTCAAGAACCAGTCCATTTTACAAGGCAGGAACTCCAGATGACTCAGGGGTTCTGGGGCAAAGGTATACCATGTGTGTAGGATAAAGGGGGAAGAATAAGATAACCTGGAAATCTGTTTAGAATAAACAGTTAGCTTCCCTAGGTCCCACTTTGTGGAGCTAAGGACTCTGAGATTACTTTGTGAGAGGGTATGAGTGGGTTTCTGGTCCAGGACCAGAGTCATCAGTGATGTGAATGGAGATGAGCTGACTTGTGAGAGCCCCAGCTCACTTCCTCTACTGACTCCCAGGATTATGGCAACAGCCCTTATTTTCCAGGTGGGAGCATGAAAGAAGTTTCTCTGTTGGAAAGATTGGCATTGTTGGTAGAGGTATCTAATGGTGCAGCAACTATGGAAAACAGTCTGGTGGGCCCTCAGAAAACTAAATACAGAATTTGCATATCACCTAGCAATTCCATTCCTAAGTATATACCCAAGAGAAATGAAGATAGGGGTTGAAACAAAAAGTTATGCACAAATGTTCATAGTAGCACAGCTCGTAATAGCTAAAAGGTGGCAACAACCCTAATATCTATCAGCTGATGAATAAATAAACACACAATCGAATCTTATTAATTCCAAAATGGGAATGAAATTTGGATCCATGCTACAACATGGATGAACCTTGACAACATTATGCTAAGTTAACAGAGCCAGATATTAAAAGGCCACGTTATATGATCCTATTTATATGAAATATCCAGAAAGTATATCTGTAGTTGACAGGGGCTAGAGGGCGGGGAGAATGGGGGAAATGACTGATTAATGGGTATGGAGTTTCCAGTTGGGATGATGAAAATTCCTTGGAACTTGGTAGAAGTGATGATTGTATAACATTGTGAATGTACTTAAAGCCACTCAGTTGTTGACTTTCAAATGGTGACTTTCGTCGTATGTGAACTCAACCTCAATTAAAAAAAAGAAAAAAGAATCTCTGTGGAAGCATGACTAACCCATGAAGAGATAACCCATGAAAAGATAACAACACCTCACATTGAAGCTCAACTTGACGAATCTCATGATCTCAGAGCTTCTAGTCAACTCTTCTTTCCTCCACTCTTACACAATACTAGTAGCAGACAACCAAGATACAGAGAGAAAGCAGCTTGGAGAAAATAGCTACCTACAATGTAGGGAAGGAGTAACGTAGACAAGAAGCTAGCATTTACTATCCTGAGAAAGAGAATATATATATAAATGTAGGAACCCATGAAATAATAATAGGATATTATTTGGAAAGGACATTTAGACATCAGAAAATAACTTGAAGTAAAAACATACTATCAACAGAAATTAAAAACTCAGAAGAAGAATTGGAAGATAAAGTTGAAATCTCCCAGAAAATAGAATGCAGAGGGAGCAAATGGACACAAGGAAACTAGATCAGTTCTGAAGTTCCAATATCAAAATAATAGGACTTCTACAAAGAGAAAATATCAAAAGCAGAGAGCAGGAAATTACTGAAATAACTTGAAAATATTTCCCAGAATTGAAATACATGGGCTAACACATTGAAAAGCTTGCTAAGTGCACGAGCAGAGTGGACAAAAATAGACCCGAAATAAGGTTCATCTTTGTGAAGTTTCAGAACACCGGGGACTAAAGAAAATAAAGGATAAGCTTCCAAAAAGAAAAAAAATAAGTTATTTGCAAAACAAACAAACAGAAATCAGGAAGACTGAATTCTTCAACAGCAGTATTGGAAGCTAGAAGTCTGTGGCACATTGACTTCATAAGTTTTTTGTTTTAATATTTTAATTGATTATTAGAGGGAGAAAGAGAAACATTGATGAGAGAGTGGAACCTTGATTGGCTGCCTCCTGCACAGCCCCTAATAGACACTGAGCCCACAACCCAGGCATGTGCCCTGACTGAGAATTGAACCAGCAACCTTTTGGTGCATGGGAGATGTCCAACCAACTGAGCCACATTGGCCAGGGCAACTTTCAGAAATTTAAAGGAGAATGGTTTCAACCTAGAATTCCATAGCCAGCAAACTTAACCAAATGTGAAAGTAGACCAAAGATATTCCTAGAAATGCATGGCAACAAGAAAGATTTACCTCCTGCATCACACCTTTTATATGGAAGCTACTAGGATATGTGCCCCATGCAAATAAGGAAGAAGACTGCATGGAATTCAGGAAGCAGGAGCTCCAGTACAGGGAGAGTCAAGAAAGGATCCTCAGGGCAAAACAAAGAGATCTAAGATGACAGCTGGATACAAGGTGTAGGGGCACCTAGTGCCACTTTCTCTCCCCTAAAGATGAAACTGGAAGCTCCAGGTGTGTAGCATCTTGGCAGAAGTTTGAAACTGGAGTGGAAATTTGGGGTTGAATTAATGATGAGTGCCAAGAAAAGTAAACAGAATAGACAGTTGTTAAATAGAGGGAAAACAAAAAATATGTTCAGGAAAAGAAATCACAGAATGAGTGACTATGTGGCTTACTTAGCAATAGCACTTGTTTTGTTATAGGAATCTAAACACTAAACATCGATGTGATCAAAGCCGGCTATATATTGGGAGTATGAGGCAGGTTGTAAAGTGTGTGTGTGTGGCAAGATGGAGGGGACACATTCTCAGTGTGTCAGTGTTATAATTAATGCCTATAACTGGATAGCCAATGGGTAGCAAGAAAAGCATGATATTTAGATTTGGAGGTAGATACCAAATAATTAAATCAATTGATTTTAAAAATCAAACACTGTTGCTTCTAGAAACGGGGACAATAGGCTACTTTGTGTTTTCATAACAAGTTTTGTTGAATGATTTGGTTTTTTAAACTATGTGCATATCTAAAAACAAAAGCAAGCATGCAAATAGATACAATGCAATATACATGTGCTATCAGAAACATAAGATAAAGTTTTAGGTGGATTCCAACAAAGGCCAATTACACTGCCATTATTATCATTCACATTAATCTAGTATGTATGTTAAAGACATTTCTTCAGTCTCTTATTTCAAGTTGTTCTTTTAGCTTCCAGTTTTAGCTTATTGGCCCTTTCTTATTGAATGATTAATAGTAAGAGTTTTAAATTTTAGCTTTGGTAATTTTAATGCTTGCATTTTCCCAAAGCTTTGGTTTTTCTTTAGTTTATGGTCAAAATCTATAATAAAAAAATGAAAATGTGTATATCTGTATGAGATGATAGATACCAGACTACTAGTAAAAAGTGAAGATTCAGTGAAGTTACCCAGGTTTTTTTTTTTTCAAATATCCTAATGTTAGCATGATGTAGGCTAAACATTTGGGTCATTGATTAAAATAACTTTATATCTAGATGCCTACTGTCAAGTGGATACAGGTTAAGATTTCATAGTTCTAACAAATACAGAAATAAAAAAGGTCAGTGGGTTCTTATGAGTATTTTTCTTTCTGCTTAATTTAAAAAAAAAACATACTGCCCATCTGTTCATAAATGTTTTACCTAGCCAGTAATCGTCTTCTTAGGTCAGTGAATTGCATTTAATATTATAGCATCCTGCATCTCTATCTTCTGGCAGAAATAGTGGCTCTCAAGCTAGGCCATTATCTATACAAATATCGGTAAGTGGCTTTGAAGTACTCACTGGCCCATGAGGCTTTTTGAGCTATTATGGGGATTATGTAAATGTTTGATTCTAGTTGGTACTCAGCTGTATTGCTAGAGGCTGTAAAATGTTTTGTGTGCTTGTGTGTGTTTTACTTAGGCTTTCTACTTTCTCTTTCTCTATAGAAAGTTACAGAAAGAACCGCTTCTTTGTGGTCGCTGATAAACAGTAATAAAGACACATTCAAAAATCCCTTCTATACTAAAGAAATCAATCGAGTTTTATATCCAGTTGCCAGTATGCGTCATTTGGAACTTTGGGTGAATTACTACATTAGATGGAACCCCAGAATCAAACAACAGGTAAATGAACCAACGTTAAAAGATAGTCATGTCGATTGGTTACTTCTAGACTTTAATAATGTTACTTTGTGTGTGTGTTTTTAATATTATGAGGGGAAATTATCAGACTAATAAGTCACACTTGCTTTTAAACTCAATTTTTATTAAAAAAATGTTTTTATTTTATTTTTTGGCTTAAAACAACACATTTATTATCTTCTAGTTCTGGAGGCCAGAAATCCGAAATCAATATCACTGGGCCACACTTCCTCTGGAGAATTTAGGAAAGGATTTGTTCCTTACTAAACCTTTTATTTTGACTGGGTTAAACTTGCATTCTTTGTCAATGGGAATAATACTTTTTTTTACTAAAATGTAAACTAATTTAAAGCTCTGGAGAATTTCTGTTTTTTTTAAATTTTATTTTTATTGATTGATGAGAGAGAGAGAGGAAAAAGAGAGAGAGAGAGAGAGAGAGAGAGAGAGAGAGAGAGAGAGAGAGAGGAGAGAGAGAGATCAATTTGTTGTTTATGCATTCATGCATTCACTGGTTGATTCTTGTATGTGCCCTGACCTGGTATCAAGCCTTGGTATATCAGGACGATACTCTAATCCACTGACCTACCCAACCCAGGGCAAAATTTTCTGATTTTTGATAGTCAATGATTTCCTTTAATCACTGGAAATTTTGATACATCATAGGAAAGAAAACATTTCCTACTCTCTGGTTCAGGAGTATGTACTACGTTAACTGACATCAGAGTGCTTTTTCCTGAGGGTCTTTACTTCTGAAATAAAGATAATTGCTCTGTCAATGGATGGTACACTCAATTGGCCATTTACCATTCAAAAATAGAAACAATGGTTTTTGCTGGCAAATATGCCACATTTTATTAAAGACACACTCAGGCTTTCCATTTTTCCACCCGGACTTCATCAGAAATCGGAAGGAAAATACAGCCTGTTTGTAAAAGCTCGGAAGCACCTCTATTTAGTGATTTGTTCCAAGTGCTATAAATATTCAGTATTTGTGATTGCTCTTTGTAAAGATTTGCACATTTTCCTGCAGTTTGGATGGTTGACTACCTGTCCTCGCAGGCCAGTCTTGCATAAGTGTTAGCTTTAATCCTGCTAGAAATCTTCCGACAACAGCAGGGACCCAGTGCTACAGTCTGTCTCTGAGATTGTTTATTCCACTCAGGCAGCTGGCTCCACGCCATTCTGTGCTCTCTCTCCTCATTGGGGAAATGCCCAGTTCAAGCAGGCACTCTCATTGCAAGGTCTGTGCTGCATGCATGAAAGGCTCTTGCAATTTATTAATGGTTGAAATGTGTAATCTTTTGGAAAGTGACAGATTCCAGGGCTGGAGAACATTCACTTGTTTAGGTTGGGATTTGAGAAGCATGTTTAGGACATTTATTTAGCAGTAGCTCTATTGAGTGGAATATCAAGTAAAGAGGAAATGGGACTTTTTCCCAGTGTTTTAACTGCTGTTACAGAGGACATGTTCCTTTTCTAATTAAAAAAGATTATATAGATGAGCACTGTTTGTCCTATGCGTTAAGCCTTTTCTGTGTTTATTGTGGCTTTTTTTAAAACCACAATTTCTGTATAGATTATATAATCTTCCCTCACCCATTTTTACTTAGAGAAATTCTTGAAGTTCATTTCCCAATATATAAAGGTAATATATAATAAGGGACATCAGTAGGATAACTTGCTGTAATGTATCTATTCCCCTGTTCTCGAAGAGCTTGGCAAAATAGAACTGGGCTAGATACAGAGTATTCCTTGGTAGAGGTTTTGTTTTATTCTGAGACAGTAATTGGTCTATATTATAATCTGTGAAATTTACTCAAAAAAGAATATAACTTACCCTTTCAATATAGATTTTTCCGCACATATCTTTCTGTGCTTCGACACTTTGTATTTTCATCCCCCAAATACTGAGTGTTCACATGCATCAGGCACAGAGGGGGACACAGAGATTAAGAAGAGGTGGTTTCATATACAAGAAGCTCCCAGGCTGGTGGGAGCACCCAGAAACATAAGCCTATTATTATTATGCTAAAGGAGAAATATTATAATAAATGTGTAAATTAAGTATATTAGATTACTTGAATGATTTTATGTAGGACATTATATCATATAGAAACAGATTAAAATTTGATCATATAGGACTTTTAAAATTATATAACATAAACCTAAAAGAATATACTTCACCACTTAAAAGTTAATTTGTTATTCAGTTGTGTGGCCCAGTTGGTATAAAACAATTCATGGCCCAGCCATGGTGGCACAGTGGTTGACTGTCGACCAGGAGGTCATGGTTCTATTCCTGGTCAGGGCCCATGCTGGGTTACAGACTTGATCTCTAGTGTGTGGCATGCAGAAGGTAGCTGATTAATGATTCTGTCTCATCATTGATGTTTCTATCTCTCTCTCCATCTCCCTTCCTCTCTGAAATCAATAAAAATATATTTAAAAATAAAAATAAAACAATTTCTGGGTACCTATAGTGTTCACAGCACTACGGTATTCTATCAGTACTTTCAGAGCCTAAAACATATACAGCCCCTCCCTATAATGAGCTGTTCACCTAGAAGAAGACAGGGTTAATGTGCTTTTAAAATCAAAAGCCACCAACCCTTGCTACCACATAAAAACTTAGCAGAGTTGATGGAAAAACCAGTACTTACATTTGACAAGATTTCAATAAGCAAATTTGGTCTTTTATTTAATACAAGGAAATTACTCATGTCGAAAGCAGAAGTATAAATTAGTCACATTATAAACTTAAATGGGAACCTTCAGCTGCTGGTAAACCTCATTATATTTGGGGAACCACTGCACCTCCTGTAGCTATCTACTAGGGTTGCACTGGGCAAGTTCACATTTTGCATAGTGGTAACTCAAGGATGAGAATAAGGACAGCCAGATATTAATAGGCTGACCTGTATGGTGTGTAAGTCATTTCTGATAGAAAAGTGAAAAGGAATATTAATAAAAACATCATTTGAAGCCTAAAATACTTTCATGCCTAAATGATTGCCTATCTTCTCTTCGGTGCTGAGCTGGCACACTCTTTACTTCATAATTCATTTCCCAAGTAAAAAGTTGAGATGTAGTATTTAAAGTTACTTGAGTTTAAATTTCATTTTTCATTATTTTGTCTTTTTGTATGCTATCACAATTGGACACTTACATTTATATCCTCTAAATGATTTTTGTTTGCCTGTAGGCTAATGACTTTTATAGATTTTGTTCCAATTACAAAACTGAATTATCTTTTTATTTCTAATAGGATTTTTTCCTATCTTCTCTCTCAAGTTTTGTAATTACACAACCTTGTCATCAGCAAAAATGTGTTGTTGTTTTTTTAACTCTGATTTATTTTTCTTGTCTAACTGTCCTTATTGGTACAATAACAAACTGATAGTCATAATAGTTATATGGAACAGGGAAATTTTAAAAATAGCCAATGTAATTTTTAAGGAGATATTAAAGAAGAACTTATCCTGCTATTTATCAAGACTTATTTGAAACAGAATAGCACCCAGAAACAGAACACACGCAAGTGGAGACTTGATAGGGTAAGAAGGTAGTATCATAATGCATAGGGGGCGGAATGGATTGGATGGTAAATGGTGCTGCCCTAGCAAATCACACTTAACATATCTAAACCAAAACTCCTAATGTTCCCCAAACCTACTCCTCCTTCTGTCTTCCCCTTTCAGTTCTCAGTAACTCCATCCTAGTCATTCTGGCCAGAGACCTTAGAGTCTTTCTCTCTCATACTCCACATCCAGTCTGTCAGGAGAGCCTGCTGGACCCAGCCTTCAAAATCTGTATGGCCTCTGAGCATTTCTCATCAGTTCCCACCATGCCCTTGGCCATGTGTTGCTGGACTCCCTGATTTCTACCCTTGCTTGCTTCTGTTCTGTTCTCAATGTAGCAGCCAAAGTAGTCCTTGTAAAATATACACCAGATCCTACCACTCCTCTACTCAACACCATCTAGGTAGCTCCTTATCTCACCCCAAGTCAAAGCTAACATCCTTATGATGACTTCTGAGGCCTTATATGTCCCCTGCCTTACCCCTTCCTTCTCTAACCCCCTCACCTGCTCACCAACAATTTTCTCACACACTCTACTTCAGCCACACTGGGCTCCTTGCTTATCCTCAGACACTCTAATATCCACCTACATCCTTCCCTGTTCTCCCTTAACCCTCCCCTCAGGAGACACTTCAGTGAAGCTCCCCAGACCACACTGTCTATAGGGTACCTGGCATTCCACTGATCCCCATCCCTCTCACCCTCCCCTACTTCTTTCCCACAGTATTCATCACCTTTTGATGTTCTATGTAAGTCACAGGATCATTGTTTTTTGCTGTTTATCTGTCTCCCTCTGCTGGAAGAGAAAAACCATTTTTAAAAAATAGATCCCAAGCATCTAGAATAGTGTCTGGACCTCAATGTAATGAATAAAGAGAAAAATAAGCAAAGGAGATTAACATGCACTGCGCAGCCCTTATTATATAGGCCTGCGTGGTGATTACATTATTGCCAACATATGTAAAAATATGTTGAGCTCAACATTTTAAGATTTGTGCACATTAATGTGTAATTTTTATCTCAGTAAAAAAAAAGTTTTAAAAATTAACATTCAGGGGAGAACCATCCTGTTCCAGCATGACCTCTCACCTTATACAGCCATCAATGCACTGTTTATCAATCAAAGTTTTTGGCATTGTAGCAAAGCAGACTGTATTGACTGCCTTCACTCTCACAACAATCCTGTGAGGTCCATGTCGTTTTTATTTCCACTTGATAGATGGGAAGTGGAGGCATCCAGAAGGTCAAGTCACACAGCTGTTAAGAGGCAGACCCAAGATTCATATTAAGGCTAGTGGGTATCAGAGCCGCTGCTCTCAGTCATGTATTTATTAGCAATAGCACATGAAAAGATATAAGAGCAGAGCAATGCCATAGAAAACTACCGTGTTGCCAAAACCAGTTTGGCTCAGTGGATAGAGCGTCAGCCTGCAGACTGAAAGGTCCCAGGTTCAATTCTGGTCAAGGGCATGTACCTTGGTTGCGGGCATATCCCCAGTAGGGGGTGTGCAAGAGGCAGCCGATCAATGATTCACTCTCATTGATGTTTCTAACTCTCTATCCCTCTCTCTTCCTCTCTGTAAAAAATCAATAAAATATATTTAAAAAGAAAAAGAAAACTTTCGTATTACTCTCCTCAAATTGGCAAACAAACACTCTTCTATTCCCAAGTTCTAGTGAGGCTATGGAGCAACAGGAACTACCAAACTCACTAGCGGGCACTTAAGTTCCGTATCACCACCTCAGAGAGCCATTTGGCAGCATCTAGTGAAGTTAGAGAGACCATACCTTCCATCCTCTCCAGCAGTTCCATACCTGATCAAATTCCTTCAAGAAACATTTGCACATGTGCACAAAGAGATACGTCCAAGGATAGTAGAGTATTGCATGTAGTAGTCAGGACCACTGAAAATTGCCAGCTACCCATTCATGTGGGAATGGATAGATGAACTGGTTTATTCATTCAGTGGAATTCAAGAATGAAATTCAGAAACACAATGTCAGGTCAAAATGTCAATTGATAACTAACTACAGAATACCACCTTTGATGTGAATTTTCAAAAAATAGAAAAATCCAATGTTTCTGGATATTTCAGGAAAAGTGTCACAATTCTCTACCTACCAACTTGACAAGAGTTGTTGCCTTTGGGAGCAAAGAGGCAGTAGGCCTGGGGATGGTCAGCATAGGAGATAGGAGCTGTGTCTGGGTTGAAAAACTTCAAAAAGATGATGATGCAAATGGAAGGAAATGTGTACATTGTTATTTCTTGGTGGCATTTTATTATTTTTTAATAAATCTTTATTGTTCAGATTATTACAATTGTTTCTCCTCCCCCCCGCCCCATAGCTTCTCCCCCCACCTGGTCCCCACTCCACCCTCTGCCCTTACCTCCCCCCCCCCACTCTCCTTATTCATAGGTATATGATTTTTGTCCAGTCCCTTCCCATACCCCCCCACTTAGACACCTTAACCCTGAGAATTATCAATCCCCTCGAATTCTATGCCCCTGATTCTATTATATTCACAGTTTATTCTGTTCCTCAGATTTTTAATTCACTTGACTTTTAGATTCACTTGTTGATAGGTATGTATTTGTTGTTCATAATTTTTATCTTTACTTTTTTCTTTTTTCCCCTCTTTTTAAAGAGCACCTTTTAGCATTTCATATAATACTGATTTTGTGGTGATGTACTCCTTTAGATTTTTCTGATCTGTGAAGCTTTTTATCTGCCCTTCAATTCTGAATGATAACTTTGCCAGGTAGAGTAATCTTGATTGTAGGTTCTTGCTATTCATCACTTTGAATATTTCTTGCCATTCCCGTCTGGCCTTTATAGTTTCTGTTGAGAAATCAGCTGATAATCTTATTCTTGGTATGTTTCTGTATTTTTAAATTAAGCTGTATGGAAGGAAAGTATGCCTCAGTTAGAGGCTTATTCAAAAAGCAGGACATGTAGCAGATATATGTAGAGCAGGTGAAATTTTGTGACGAGGCAGGCGCAAAGCAGTAACTCAGGCTCGTGCTTCTTTCCAGCAGCCAAATCCAGTGGAGCAGCGTTACATGGAGCTCCTGGCATTGCGCGACGAATACATAAAGCGGCTGGAGGAGTTGCAGCTCGCCAACTCTGCCAAGCTTTCTGACCCCTCGACTTCCCCTTCCAGCCCTTCACAGATGCTGCCCCACGTGCAAACGCACTTCTAAGAGGGAGCCTTGCCCCGTGCTGTGTTCGAGCTCTGAATAAAAGAAATGGTTGACTTTCATTTGGGGCCTCTGTACAAAGTAGATTAAAATATTTGCCCCCATGTAGAACTTGAACTAACAATTTTACTCTTGAATATGTGCCTTCTAGATTACATATTACAAGAAAACTATAGTGTCTACACGGCAGTCAGAAGAAAGGAGCCCAGGTGGGGTTTGGGAAAAATACTGATACCTTTCAAAAGAACTTTTTGAAAAATATAAAGCTTACATTTAATTTGCCTTTTTAGAAGTGCTATGTATACAGTATGTAATTTGTGGGCTTAATTGCAACATTATTTTAAACTAAAGGGGATAAACGTTTTGTGAAATGGAGGGTTTTCCTCAGGTTGCTTTAAAGCATTGCTTCAGATTATCAAAAACAAATGCAGATGTGAAAGGTGTGTTACTGCCAAAACCAAATTGAGCTCAACTTCTGAGGCATTATCCAAAAGCAAGGTATTTCAATAATTGCCAAATTTTATACCATCATAAGTGGTGACTTTAGGAGAACTAGCTGTGTAGATGAAATTTTGGAATATGAAGTGTTTTCCCCTGATTTTCAAGAGAAGCATATTTTTATATTAAAAAAAAAAAACACAACTGATGGGGCCCACTTAAATATGATTTGATTTTTTAAAACTTTGCTGGTTCTATTTTCTAAGTTTTCCCTTGAGCTTGCCTAAAATTCTGACCCGTTTTCAGGTTGTGGGAAACCACTTAGATAGCACTGTGCAAGGATGTCGGGTGTCATATGCTGCTGAGGTAAATGCTTTCGCAAATGTTGCTCTAGTCAAACCAGCTTATCTGCCAAAGCGTAGGGTTGACCATCTTGGGTGTTTGAGCTATTGCTAAAGCATCATTTAAAAAAATAATAATAATAAAAGCTGCAGATGTATATTTGTTGAGCGTATTCTTGAAAGTATTGTGTTTATTGATTTCTATTCAAATGGTGTTGGGTGCCCCTTCTTCCAAGCGTGCATAAAAACTGATTCTACACATTTTTACTTGAAGTACCTGGCAGTTTGCTTTTTCAGGTTTTTGTGTTTTTTTTTTTTTTCTGTAGTATTAAGTGAAATTTCAAATGTGGTTCTATTTGATATCTGAACTAATTAATTTAGTAAGTGTATTTGTAAAAGTTAAGGCTAGAGCGAAAGCAATTAATGTGTTTTGCAATGATCTGTAAAGGATTATTTATAGATAATATGGTTATGTTTTCAATGAATAAGAGAGATTAAATATATCTTTGTAAATTATTTTATGTCATAGTTTAATTGATCTATCAAAGAAGACATCTCAAAAACAGTAGTATAATGTATAAATTTTGTATGTATAAGAAATTTTATTAGACATTCTCTTCTTTTTTTAAACGCTGTAAATATTTCATAAATTAACAGTGTCACTCCATAAAAAAAAAAAAAGCTGATACTAATAGCTTAAAGGATTTTTGTGAAATTTCATGAAACATTTTTCATGGCAATGATGACTACAGACCTGCTGTAATAAATATATTAACTCAACATAGTACTCTGTTTTCAGGGATGTAACTGTATATGTGTCAAGTGTGTGTGGTGTCATCTTCTTTTCCTGGCTCAACTTTACATGCTGTTTATCTTAATAGCAACCTTGTACGGCTCTCCCCAAATCCCAACAATACTGGACATTAAGTGCATTAACAATGCAGATTTTAATAATCACAATTGTCTTTATTAAAGTAAAGACAGTTTTCACAAACGTGCTGGAGTTCATACCACAAGACTTCAGACCTGGGATGGAGAAAAAAGCCATTGATTTTAAGAGAGAATAAAGCACTGGTTGAAATAAGGCATATCAGATGTCTCTTTAGGTGAGAATTTTTTAAATTCTTCAAATGGTGCTGCCAATTAGAAACTACATTGTTTATATGTATCTGAAGAATGCTAGTTATAGCAGGAAACTAAAATTAACCATTATTTTAAAATCTGAGTAGGACTCTTAAAAGATTAAGTATCTTTTAAAACTATGAATATTTGAAATGTTTTGTGAAGTTCTTCCTTAGACATTGCTGTGTTTAATCCTCACTACAACCTCATGCACTACATGGTATGCTATTATCCCTACTTATCAGCTGAAAAGGCCATTGCTCCAGGGGATACTGACATGCCAGAAGTCCCACAGCATCAAAAAAAAAATGTATACAGGGATTAAATTGAATTCTCCCTCTCTCAAGTGCCCACTGACTACCTTACTTCTGCCTTCTGGAATGAAAGAAAATAATCCCTCTTTTTGGGACAGACCTCCAAATAATTTGGAACCATATGTACTTTTGATAATATAACAGTCTCTTCTTAATATAGTCAAAGTACTTTCTGGTCTATTTTTGATAACACACAAAGTTTATCCTTATGCTTTTTTGAAAGGAATAATACTCAGAAGTTTCATAATAAGTTGTCAAGTGTCTTACCACCTACAACCCTCTCTACAGAATGCAGATTTGTGGTGTCAGTCATCCAGATAGCTCTGTGGCATTCGGGGGCATTAGGCAGAAACAGGACTATATAAACTGAACATTCTTAAAATATAGGAATTTTATTAGAATCTACACATCTATGACTGAAATTTCATGAACATAGCTATTGGTAACCATAAAGCAAAAGCAGGAGATACCCAAAGGAAATAAGAACTGTATACAGTATGCAGTCCACCAACAAGAACAAGGATTAGCATACTTACAGAAAAAATTTCCATGGTTGTAGATTGCAGCTGGATTTTGTAGGTTCACAGAATTATCAAATGTACGATGCTGAAATACCAACATCCATTGGTAGATTTATAACTTTTAAATAATTATCAACAAAGTATTTTTGTATTAAACCTATTTGGAAGAGGAAAGATCAGCAAAACAAAGTATTCTCATTTCCTTATGAAGCTTAAATTTAGACATGGCTTATTCCTTATTTTCAATTATTTGTCCTTTAAAAGCAAAGGCAGTAATATGTCCATGTAGGATAGCTAAAGGTTCACATGACTGTGAAGGCTTAACAGTTAATTTTTCTAGTAGCTTTGGAGAGCATGACTTATTCATTTACAGTGTTTAATATGTATGTGCTTCTGAAATTGTTTCACAGTGCATTCCACATAAATTATAAAAGAAAATAGTTCACCTCATTTTAAGAGCTTTAAAAGCACTAGAAGGAGCCCTGAGACGTGTGGAGACCTGGATTCCTGTCTGGGCTCTGAACTACTTCTTGGATGGAAAGTGTGAGGCCTGGGAAGGGCCTAAGTGTCCATCTGTTCAGCAAGGGTATGGGATGCACATTCTGGAAGATTCTTACACCCCAAAGACAACCCTTCTCATAAATGTATTTTAATCACTTGTGCACATACAATATTTATGGCACAAGATGGCATTTGCTTTGTATATTAGTTTTCTGTTTCTGCTGTAAGAAATCATCACAAACTCAGTAGTGATTTATTAAAACACATTTAGCATTATACAGTTTTGGAGATCGAAATATGACTTACAGGAACCAGTCATGGAGCTCCGTAGGGGGCATGTTAAAGAACTTTTATTTTCTTCTCTGTACCTTAGGAGCCATTAGAGGGTTGTGGGCCTGAGGGATAGGATAATATATGAGTCACTCTGGTAGTCATTTGGAGGGTGCAAAGCAGGGTGATAAAACAGGACAGGCCAGTTTGAGGCTAGACTACATGACTAGATGTGGAAGACAGCCTGGAGTACAGATGAAAAAAGATGCAGATTGAAAAATAGTAAGACTTGGTGAGTGATTGGAAGGAAGAGGTGAGAAAGTCAAAGATGATAAGGAAGTTTTGGTTAAGGTAATTGGGTGACAAGCGGTATTTCCAGAAAGGGCATATCAATGCAGGAACAAGTGGGGGCAGTGCTGAAGACAGTTTGGTACTTGCTAAATGTAAGAAGACAGGAATCTAAGATGTGGTTGAGGATAAAGACCTAAAGCTCACAAAATAAGTTGGGGATAAAAACAAATTTGGAGATAAAAACATGGAGTGGATGATATTGCCCATGCAAATGAGTGAAAAAAAGGTGACGAGCCCCAAATCAGATTTTAAGGGGCAGATTGAGGAAAAGGAGACCTGGAATGAGATGAAGAAAGAAGGTCCAAGAAATATAGAAGCAAACAGTTGCACTATGAGAGGTAATAGAGTGAGCAAGTGCTTAGTCTGAGAGAGCTAGTGAAAAATGTCCATTTAACTTGGACAGTTAGGAGATCCCTGGGGAACATATATGAGAGCTATTTCATGGGGCAGAAGCCAAATTAACAGTGAGTTAAAAGCTGCCGTCCCCACCGTCCCCCCTCCCCCCCAAAAAAGGTCACTGGCCCGGACTCTAGCTCAGACAGCTAGCTACAAGGAAGCACAAATTCAGGTGTGTGTGTATTTTTAAATATATATGTTTTGTTTTGTTTTTATTGATTTCAGAGAGGAAGGGAGAAGGAAAGATAGAAACATCAATGATGAGAGAGAATCGTTGATTGGCTGCCTCCTGCACACCCTCTACTAGTGATCAAGTCTGAAACCCAGGCAAGTGCCCTGATTGGGAATGAAACTGTGACTTCCTGGTTCATGGGTCAATGTTCATCCACTGAGTCACACCAGGTGGGTACACAAGCTCAGTTTTTAGAAACTAGCTTTGACACCAGGCCTTAGTTAGCACCACCAAAGAGCAAGAAAGTGTTACGGCTTGTTCCAGATCCCAGGATAAAGGGCCATGTAATAATAAAGAGAGAAAAAGAAACTGAGGAGGAATAGCCCCACCTCTTGCTGTCATTCATTCGACAAATAACTATAGAACTCTATCAGCCTAAATGTTACTCAATTATGGAAGTTTCCCCCCATGGCCCTCTCCTTAATACCGTCTTTGGTCTCAGTATCCTATGCTCCCCTGGCACTCTATATATCCCCTATCATTCCATTTGCCATAATTTGTTGAAATTATGTGTTGA